TCATGTACAAATAGGTTTCCTAATAACTTAGCTGATAAAATGTTGTTTGTATAAATCACTTTACAATGATATTCTTATTACCATACCTTCACTACTACATTACATTTTTATCACCACTGATTCTCTCATAAGGTAAAAGATCCTTTTTATGTCTTGATGTGCTAGCTAGTCACATACTTTGGATGTATATACATCAGTGCAAGTTGCAGAACAATCAGTACTCAATGAGTTATGTGAAATTTTCATTACTGAAATAAAATACATTACAACCTTGCTAACATAAAATTGTTTAAGATCAACTCAGATAACATGAAATTTGTTTAATGTCCCAGCAGGGATGTATTATTATTAGTCACCAGTCACAGCACACAATTGTTTTAACAAAAACTCAAGATTTTCCGGTCCCAGGAATTCTTGTTAACAAGATTGTATACTGTATTCGGTTATTTAAATGCAGGTATCTTTGATTCTGTTTACAAACTGTATTTTATGATCAGTGCTTGTCAATGCCACAGTAAGACACTCTGATGAGGATTCAAACTGAAGACATTGCTTTTCTTCAAGAAGCTGTCTAAACCCTGTTTGTCTAATGATGTACTGTCTATTAATATTTAAGGTTATTAAGGTTTTTCTTTTCTGATTTCACTGTTGAATCTCAAATTATTTACATAATATATGCTGTTTAAAAAAAAAAAAGCAGTTATCTGATGACAGGTTTTTATTAGACGGGAAAGCCTGTACGACAAAAAATTTTTTTTGACGATCCAGATGCAAAAGAACTGTCAACAGACCGGTTGAACCCTAAGGTATTCTTGTGTGCAGTTTGAACTTTTTTACTAATTAAATTAGAAAAATTAAGTTCCTTTCAGTAGCTCTGCATTTTGTTTGTTTGTTTGTTGGAGTAGTTATATGACTTCAATCATGCCTTACTTAAAGGAATACAAAATGTGTATGCCTGTATAGTTGACTGTTGGCTAAATAAAAACATATAATACTACATTTGGAGGTAACAATTTGTACTTGAAATGTCCCTGTGAACCGCTGGTATCAACAGTTATAAGAAAAAAGAAGATAGCAATATACTGGGCACATCATGAGGAGAAGAAGTAAAAAGAGAACCTCCAAACAGGCACTTACATTTTTGAAATGAATGAATTGAGTTGAGGATGTCTAAAATATAGAAACCCTACAATGAATACTGATGAGAAAGGCCAAAGGTGTTAGACTGTATTCCATCTACAATATTGAAACAATAAAAAGGGACAGAATGCAATGGTAGAACAAGTCTGTGAGCCCTATGTGCAGTATAATGGCACAAAAGGATTTGTAAGGATACATTGTAAGCCTTACATTCAAGACCAGCAGTGGACTTCGAGGCAAGTCTGATGTAACTTTCATATAAAATAAAAAAAAAAAATCACGTGTTTTCTAAAAAAAAAAACAGTTTTTATTTGCATGGGATAAAACTACTAGCGAAACCTCATTTCAACTTAAAGCTTTTCACAAATGTAAAATTAATTCAAGTTCATATAATCAATAAAAGTGAAAGGTAAAGAACCCCCATATCCATGCCACCTAGGAGATATGGTGCTAGATCTGTCCTCTCTTGACTCAACAGTGCTTGAGCGGTCATACAGTCAGTATCATTTCAGTTGCATATTAACCATTAAATGTTTTGACACCCATTTTTTGAGACCAAAGCTGTTCATGTTCTTAAAAAAAAAAAATAACAACCCTAACTTAAGCTGGATTTGAAATAAAGACAAAACACACAATTTTCCCAATAACTCTAAACCAGGGCTTCTGAACTAAGTTTATTCAGGGGTCAACATTCTGAAAATGAGGATCACCACTGGCCAGAGCCTCAGCATAGAAAGATAATTAATACAATATAGTGCAGACGGTTCAATGCGATTTTGGATGTGGTGAGTTTCTGTTGTGAAAAACAATTTGTTTATTGCCGGAAATGTTTCTTGCTTGAATTCTAACCTGGATAAGAGTAATTTATGATAAGAAGAACCATTTCTTGGGTTCCCGGTGAGTTCTCCTTATCAGGTCTGCACTGTAAAACTGTGAGCCAGGTTTGGCCTATGGGTCATCAGTTAAATAGCCCTGCTCAACACAAGAAAAATTCACATTTTCTTGTTCACCATATATAATACCTCACACACTTCTTAAAAGCAGCAGAAAATCTGGTGAGACACATAGTAAAGGATCTACTGGTTTTCTTCAGCTCCACTTAAAGACAAAACTATGCTTACTTACTTGGTTACACCAGCTCCACTTGAGGACAAACTCTATGGTGGCATCAACAATCTCAAGTTGCTTTCTTCACATACATTCAAGCTTAATATTTACACGCACAATTTCATGGCAAAATACCGGCATATGTTAGAAGATTATGGGGGATATGGTGTTAGGCTGAAACATAGGGTAGTATGGTTTATAATATGCCAGTTGTTTTACTTTCCCAGACCCCCAGTACCCTAATTTTTAAAAATGGGTTAACCACAGTCGCATTTTGAAAATATGTGCATTCAAGAAATGAAATCCCTGACCAGTGTGCTGACAGAAAAATTAGTATCCACTATATCATTACATTATCTAGCTACAGGCCTGTATAACAAGCCCTTTATCTAGAGATAATGTTCCCTGTCCCCACTGTGCTAGATCCTTCTAGGCCAGTACTGGGCTTGTACGTCACCTCCAGACTCACAGACAATCAGCTACAGTTTCAAGACAGATGAAAGAAAGAGTGGTCTTCATCACTTGTGATGGATGAACAAAAAACATGCACACAAAACAACTCTTTCAACTCTTAAGTCATTAAATAATTATGTTATATTGCGCCCACTCCCAAAAAACCCCTCCCCAAAATGATCCGCCATTATGAGACATTTTTCTATTCAAATATAACAGCAAGCACCTAATTAAAATGATTAAAACATGACTATGCTTATAACTCTAATTTTTAAAAAGTAAAGTAACACCTTACAAAGTTTTAATATACTGGCATTCTAAAAAATGTTGATCAAAATGACTTAAAATATGAAATAATCACAATTGTACAAGTTAATAAACATTACATAAACAGTGATTACAAGGCAAAAAGCATTGTATCAGACATGAAATTATTATTGTAAACTGATGAATTTAACATCATTGGAGCAGTCAACATGTTAAAGTAAAGACAATCACAGAGACAAAAGCATGCAAATGAAACCAGGCAGAAATTAACAGTTTAATTATAAAGCTCTCATTTGAGAACAATATAAGAAGATATGCTATAATCTAAAGATAAGTTTTTTTTTTAAAAGATGGCATTCAGGATAATTAGGTGTGTTGGGAAATGGGCAGGATGATGGGTTGGCCGATGCTGCACCACCTGTGGTGGTATGACCTATAACAGTCTGGGACTAGTAAAGTGTGTGGAGGCACAAATGGAACACCAGTCTGAGAAGTGTGGTGCAATGAGGTGTGACTGGGATATCTAGACGGCACCTTGTGGAAGAGCACAGTGGACACGCAGTCAGACTGCCACTGGTGCCGCCAGAGGTGGAATCTGCACTGGCTCCTGAAGATGGGGTAGGGAGCACTTATGGGAATATCCTGAGTGCTGTGATGCCGATTCTAAACTAAACTCAACAAAGGGCAAGTCTCATTCATTCTCTTGTGCTAAGGTAAAGATATGGTTTTCAAAAACATCTTTAGATTTCAATACTTCAAATTCCCAGGTTTATCCCTGTCTTTATTATGATGAAAATACCACTCTCCAGTGATATAAGGTCTATTAGAACTTCAAACATTTGCTCCTAACCTTTAACCATCTGAAGAGGTGGAATCACCCACTACTGGAACCACTGTGATGAACTTATCAACTAAACACTTTTATCAATAACATGCCTTATATTCACACAACTGAGATGAACGCAGAAGAAGAAAATATTTACAGAACAAACAACATAAGAATTCAATTCTGTTAGGTAAAACTCTACCATGTATTTAATGAGCCAATCAGAAAAGACTAGAGTAGGCGTGTAGTAACTCAATAACAATTATCTTTTGATGTAGTCATTAATGTTTTCACCTATCCCGCAATTTGGATAATGAATGAATGAATAAACTCTACTTTCAAAGGTTTTTACAAACTTGGGTACATAGGCCTCCTTTATATTTAGCCCCTCCAACCACTTTATTTCACAAAGCAATTCACTGTTATCCATAAAGCATATAAAAAAAAAAAACATTAAGAAATAGTCAGACGAAGTACATTTTCTATTTTTTGCTCCTCTTACTAGCCCACCCCAAGGTTATGCTTTTACTGTATATTTGTCTTATCATAATTTTTATAGAAGAGTGCTTCCAACTGTGCACAAAAGCAGTGATATCCTATTGCAGAGCTATCTAATTGGTGGCCTGCGGCCCAAATCTGACCCTACTGAGGCCTAGCAAATTATTACCATTTGAACTGTATCAATGATCTTTTTACGCTTGGATTCGGGTCTCTGGCTGTGACTATCACCATCTAAAAATGCTGGCCTCCGAGTCAACTTTGCTGAATGTGGTGAACGTCTGTCTGCCTTTAACTTTATAAGTCAAGTTTGTATTTAAATGTGAATGAATCAACTGTACTCAGCTGATTCCACACTAAAAACTTTCCTTCCATAAACTATAAACGAATGAGTTCCAAGTGATAATGGATAAATGTCTGTTTTGTTTGTAAAAAGTTCGGGAAAATAAAATTGCTCACATCAAAAGGAAGCAATTTTCTTGACATAGACAACAAGCTAGAATTCTTTGTTGTCACAACTAAAACTATAACAAAATTTCCTTCGGTAACTGTCTTTATAAGCTACCTGTAAACCGTAACCACAGTTACAACTTCCAATATTACTGTCATCACTGCATAACCAGATCTGACATGAGCTGTGATCATATAACTCATGGCTAAGACTGTTCAGAACTATCCTGCTAAATGTATAACCTAAAATCAATATTTATCATCGCCTTCGTATATGTGATGTTATCCACTCCAAGCCTTGATATAACCTGCACATGTAAACAAAAATATTAGTAAATGAAGCATTTTATGTTAAAAAAAAATATTAGTAAATGAAGCATTTTATGTTTAAAAAAAATATTAGTAAATGAAGCATTTTATGTTAAAAAAAAAAGGTTATATCAGTATGCAATCAAGAAAAATAGTCATTATGATAGTAAAGACTGCCCACATCAGAAGGAGAAGATTCTTTGGTCATGGTCAGGAGTCATACAGACTAAAGTTTTGAGAAAAAACTGTGGGCAGCACATTGTGAAAAAGTTCTTTTTTTCACAGATGATAAAGTTGTAGTTTTTATTTTGGGCTGAAAGAGACAGCAGCTCTCTTTCTCATTAGATTTTTGCAAAATGTTCTTGAGCTAGAAGTGCTGGACAGCTACTGACATCTTGCATAAAATGTTGTTGCTAGCATGTTCTTCCCATAAGATTTTCCATTTTGTCATGTTACATAATGAGATCATCTGTGTCAGAGATTACTGACAGTACACAAGAAAGAAGTTTGTGGATAGATATGATGACCAATGCCTTAGGGCATGGACTATAAGAAGCAGAAGAAGATGACAGTGTAGAAAGCGGTTGCTTATTAACATAGTTTTAAAATTCAAATATACTGGGTTCAATTTAGCTGCAAGTGATTTTGCAGCAAATCATTTTGCTGTAATTTATACAATGATATCCGAGCACTGGCTGTTCACAGCACTGGCAAACTGCTGGGCATAAAATTCTTGGATGAAACCAGAAAGGTCAGCAAATGCTGGTGTTAGGTTAGTAACATCTTGTAAAGGATATGATGTAATAAATTTTAAAGATAGTGATGCGTATTCCTAAAAGAAACCAACAGACTCATTAATCACATGTTTTAGTATCAGCAAAATGTAAATTTATGTTAAGTTTTAAATAGCAGACAAACATGAAATATATTTGACAAAAATGCATTTCTTCTTTGCTTTGCTCAATATAGGTAATTGTTTTATTGTGCCTGTTTACTGTGGAGAATACAGGAGATTTTTAACCAGCACATCTAACTTCAACATGTCCAGTTTAAGTTTTATATACTGACTTGTTTAGAAAAAAAAAAGCTATTATATATAAAAGAAGAAATAAGGAAAAATAAAATCCCAGTGTGAGTTCTGGGTCCCCATCATAGGGAAAACAAGAATAGACTACTGCCTACCCAAAAGCATGTTGTAAGAGTCAACTAACTAGGAACTTCCTTTAAAGTCAGAATGCATCTGCCTTAGAGGCAAGGAACCAACAGTCTGCACATTATGATTATGAGACAGATCTGTCAAACGGATGCACAATCAACACTCAGGTTCTGAAACAGGACTGCAGACCAGAAGTGGACAAACAACCAGAACTTTCTGCTGGAGTTTACAGCCAGTGAACAAATAGAAGAAGAACAATAAAAAAAAAATATGGAGCTGTTTATTCCTTATTAGGGGGGGGGGGGGGGGGGCATGCAAGAACAATGCAGGATGATTTATTAAGGAAAAAACCCTACTACAACTATCCTCACATAGGTCTCTTTAAGATAACACAAAATGAAGTAACTAGAGCACTCAGAGAGTAAGCATGGAACATTATTTCAGTACTTACGGAGAAAGACTGAGCTCCTATAGATCTGCTAAAAATTAACTGACACCAATTCTTCAAATAGCAGCAATTCATAACTGTATCTGAATGTCTATACAAAAAAGGAAAAAACACACACAAACATGACCTACCCCTCCCCCGTGAGCCCACAACAAGCCTGTATGTGCCACACGTGATCTTTAACCGTTGTCAGGTTCAGCTGCTGGGAGATTTCAGCGGGAGACATGCAGCCTTTGATGTCCTGCTTGTTAGCATATATCAGTACAGCAGCTTTACGGAGATCCTATGACAAAGTAGCCAAAAGACTATAAATATTTGTGGGCAAAAAGGGGCTTTAGTGTGTTTAAGGGACATCAATTATTATAAGTATCTACTGCACCGAATATGACACACTAAGGCAAAAGATAAATAAAGACAAAACTGCAGATATATAAAACTTATTTCAAGTGAACAAAAGGAGAAAAAAAGTATTTACTTCACACTGATGGTAGTAAAGCTACGAGTCTCTCTTCATTAGAATGGCAGCAGAGTTCATAGCCACTCTCCATTACACGTTGAATTTCTGGTAGTGACTTTATTTCCCTTTGGAATTAACTCAATTACATCTTCTTCTTTGCGACCACTGGCTGCAACTCCAGCGGAAAGCTCTGGTTGTTCATCTACCCCTGGACTCAAGTCTTGTTCCAGAACATGAGTTTTGTGCACAAATCCGTTTTACATATCCGATTTATTTGTATGTAAACTGCTGGTTCCTTGCCCCTCTGGCAGATGTGCTCGGACTACAAAGAAAGCCCCCAGTTAGTTGAGTCTTGTGACAGCTTGTCCAGAGGCTGACGAACAACCCTAACTTTGCGCATGAATTTACAGCCGATGAATGTAAAGAAAAAGACGAACAACTATTTCACCGTTGAAACCCCCCCCCCCCCCCCAAAAAAAAAAAAACCCATTTGTTTGCTTATAGTGAAAGATAAATAACCATATCAAGTGTGCTTAATATCATCTTCCTTATTCCCCATAGAAGGGCGGTTGTCTTGTGATTTACAGCTAGCAAACAACAGATTAGCTGCCTTTTAAAACAGGCTGGTTAAAGGGACCCAGGACCCACATAAAAGGTTTGTAGAACAAAAAATGAACATACTTCATGTGCCAGCATTTTATAGAGCTCCTCTTTTGTAACTGACAATCGTTCTCGGTCTGTGCTGTCAATGACCATGATGATAAACTGTAACATACAATTGAAAACAATAATATAGTATGCAGTGGGTTTATTCCCCTCCCTCCTCCAATGGGACATGAAACCCATATAGGGAACTACAGGTTCATTAAATTCAAATGTGATGTTAAATGTTCTTTTCTGAAACCCGTTACCTCTTTTTTCCCCCCGGATGCTGGGGACCTGAACAGTGGCTCTTAATCTTTCTAATGCCGCAACACTTTAATACAGTCCTTCTTGTTGTGACGACCTCCAACCATACAATTATTTTCGTTGCTACTTCATAACTTCAATGAATATGTGTTTTCCGATGGTCTTTGGTGACCCTCGTGAAAGGGTCATTCGAGCAAAACCCTAAAAAGGGTCGTGACCCACAAGTTGAGAACCGCTGTCCGAAACTGAATGTGGTGGTTCAACAGGACCAAGGCTCATACTGGTAAGACCAACATAGACCTCTCCGTTGCCATCCTATAAACAGGTTGCCTATCAGGGGCCTGACTGACACAGACAGGATCAATGTTTTCTTTCAAGGTTGGAATGTATCTGCCTGACAGTCTAGGAACCAAAAGTCTGCACAAATATAAGCCTGATCTATAAAATGAATGTTCACGCATCACCTGAAACAAGGCCTTGTCCAGAAGTGTGCATGGAACAAGAACTGTTGCCGGAGTTTACAGCTGGTGAAAGTAAAGAAAGAGAAGAATACCTTTAACCAGCTCACTCACCATAAGCTAAACCTGGGCTGTAAATAAGTTCTCAAAGCTTGCTTAAAACCATCAGAGAACATACAGACTAAAGTTTTGTTTACAGTAATGACAAAACTGTGTTGGCAGAATGTTATTTCCCATAAGATGATTTTGTCAAAAAGTTCTTTTTCACAGATGATAAAGTTGTAGTTTTTATTTTGTTGGCTGTTCTTTCCAATAAGATTATCCTGACAGCATGTTCTCTTTCTCATTAGATTTTGTTATTAAAATGTTCTTTCCAGCTAGGCTAAGTTGTCAATTTGTTCTTTCCATAACATACTTTTAGTACGTTCTCTTGCATAAAATGTTGTTGCTAGCATGTTCTTCCCATAAGATTTTCCATTATGTCATGTTACATAAGATTTTCCATTATGTCATGTTACATAAGATTTAGCTGACATTATGTTCTTTCCCATAAGACTACATTAGTAATATTTCATTCCTACATACCTCAGAATTAGTGTAGTAGGTATTCCAAGAGGCACGCAGTGACTCTTGACCTCCAATGTCCCACATGAGAAAATGTATATTTTTCCAAACTACCTCCTCTACGTTGCTTCCAATGGTGGGTGATGTGTGGACAACTTCATTCATTAAACTGGATTTCAAAAGCAAAACATGTTATGTTCATAGGTATGGTTATAAGTCAAGTAAAAGACTCTCCCCCTGGTCTCTCCCATGCCAGCTATAACAATGTCTTCAAAAGTTTATTATAGTTATAATAATGTATGTCAAAAAAACATGTTACGAACAGCTATAACAATGTTTGTTCAACTTACATCTCTAAGAATGGACCATCCAAACTATTAGTAAGGACAGATCCATAGGTACTCTAAACAGCTTCACAACCTAAAGATGACTGATCATGCCTGTTCTGGGTTAACTAATCAGGTGTCTTGTGGCCTTAGTGAAATATTCATATCTGGCTGCTCCAGACTCACTTTCAGATTCACCAACCAGGATAGGGATACCGAGTCTCACTTGCTGTCATAATCGATATGTATTTTAATGGCCATAATGACATTGCTGCGCAGTGTAGTGGCTAGACACTTGCATGCGGATCCAAAGGTCACTGGTTTGAATCATAACAGTCAAGTTAAAAAAAGCATCATGTGCCTTGCCAGTTGGTGTAGGTGCTCATGCATCTCTACAGATTACGATCCCTGGTTGCCTGGAACAGCTCTCTTGATGATATCCTTCTATTCCATCGTTTCAGCTCATCCAGCATCGTCTCTCTTGGTCTGCCTCTACCCCTTTTTTCACTCACTGTTCCAGTTGGCATGATGGTTTCCAATGCCTATCTTCTTATTACATGGCCAAAGAACAGTGTTTGTCTCCTTCTTAATATTGTAAAACAGAGCATCGTCAATACCTGAATGCTCATTCATCAGCAATATGACAGGAATCTGTTCTCTGCAGCTTCTATTTAGTGTAAGATGGACCATAATACTGATGTCTGGAGCAACAGACAGAAGCATCAATTCATTTTTTATGAGGCGACAAATTTGCTGGATGGCATCCAAGATGTGCCTCTTATACTGTGTTCTTTTTAGGCTTGAAACTTTATTGTAGTGAGTACTGAGGGTCTGAATTCACTGTGGGGAAAGTGGCGGCTTTTAAATGTTTGATTCTGTTACTCAGTGTGGGAAAGTCCTAGAGTTATCGCATAGTTTGGTAGGAGATTTCTAAAGTGCACTCAAGAATTACAAGCAGTCTCATGTTTAAATCTTTTCTAGTCTGTTTGGCACTAAGTGTCATGATGGCCAGTGCATAGTCAGCGGTGAAGAGAACTGATCTTTGGTACAGCATACATTTAGCTACAGATGTAACAATGCTTGTTATAGTCCGTTTTAAAAGTCATGCCCAACTTTAAAAATCGAAGTCAGTAACCATTCGGTGTAAACTAGAAATTTTGCATGAAACATGTTAATAATCATGTCTTGGTAGGAATATAACTACAATGTAAACAAACATCAAGTTTTTATTTTGCCTTATTTGTAGTATATGAAAAAAAAACCTGACCGATTCAAAGCATACAATTAGCATGTTTATAGTAAATGGGGGGACGTGAACTCTGCAAAACACCAAATTACCCATATTTTGGAAGGAGTCTATCTAAACTAAGGTGTGCTTATTTTGAATAGTAAAAGTACATATGTAATGTACTGTCATACTGCTTGTTGACTGGCTCATAAAAATTAAACAATCTGTGTCAATTACTGTATTTTGTTTGAAAGTGGTAGACAAATATTAGTCTAACGAACATTTAAAGAAATTGGCTGCTGCAAGAAAACAGCAGCGCTCGTTTAAAAATATCACCACATGCAAAAATGTGTTTATCAATTCAGAAGTTTTCAAAATATTTATTAAAGACTGAAGGTACGATTTTTGAAACAGGCTATAACAGTGTATTACTCTGTATTGCAACAATAATCAGTTGTATCAATGCAGAAAGCAAAGTATATTACTTACAACTGATATAAAATTGTTGTCTTTCCAGCATTGTCCAGTCCAACAATGATGATTTTGTGTTCTGCAGATGGAATGATCAAGTAATGAATCAACATAACACAATGATTTCAAGTAATGATAACTTCCATCCAAAATATTTCTTGTTATGTATTCCAGATTAATGTACAGGGGAAGTTGAGAATGTCAAAAGAAACACTATGATTAATGTTGATAAGGCAGACTAAAAGAATTACCCATGAGCCACCATGTGACTTGACATATAAAGAAAAGTATGATGATGATGACAATCCAAGATGACATCAGTTTTTTTTTTTGCTGAATCTTAACCATGACTTAGTAGGCCATCAAGACATCACCTTCTGACACACTGTGTGACCGTTTCCTGCTTACATATGTCTTTTAAAAGAAATTCAGTTTCTATCATGGTTCCTTTTTACATGTTAATGAATATTATATGTCCTGTATATTTTTAGTCGTTCCCTTTGTGTTTGCTCTCCTAACTCTGAAAATAAATCAACGCTGAAACATTGGCAGTGTGACAAAATGACCTCAGTGTTTTCATCAGTTAGTATGTGTAATAATTTCTTCTGGTAATAGAGAGACAGAGAATTATATTTGCTATGCCCTAAGCCCGAATCAAGTCCTAAAACCACAGGGATTTGAAAATTGTTTAAACTTTGTTTCCCGTCTCTCGCCAGACAAAGCAACCCAGCTTTGTGTAATATTACCTAACATTACTGTATCTAGGGATTTGTTTTACAAGCCAGTGTCATATAATTATCTCCTGACTACAGACTGTAGGGGCGAGCAACTGGGAACTAATTATCACACCTGAGATTATCTCCCATGAGCCAAACCTTAGTGTCATAAATGTTATATAACACAGTCTGGGGCCTTTTGAACACAGCAGATCAGGGGAATTAAGTGGTCTGGTAGACAACTCCAGACCTCATGGCGTCCCCTGGAAGTTTTTAAACACCTGCCAGTTAAATTTGCTGGAGAACAGATGTTTACCAATTAAGAATGTGTGATCTTGGAAAGGCCGTTCACTTTGATTGACAGCTATTTTGATCTGCAAGGTACCTAAGGGGCGTGGCTTAGTGCATCTCCTGGAGGGTAGGGTAGAACCTAGTAAGGGGAGTAGTTTAATTTGGACAATAGATAGATACTTATACCAGCATCTTAAATTTACCTCATAGTGCTGCCAGCTAGCCACAAACTTAGACCTACAGTAGAAAGTATTTCTCACTGGTTGAGTCTTGTTTGGCGATTGCTGGAATGTTTCCAGGTATGAGTGTATATTATTTTTAATCTGTTACTCATAGGTTAGGAGCTAGCTCAGTCTACTATTCCTTCCTGATGTATCCTATTTAACATTCTGCTTGAAATAGTTCTTTGTGAGTATTCAGTTATCTCAGTTAGGGAACTGCTGAACTATTCCTATTTCTTGAATGTTTGTATCACATAATTTCAGTGTATGTTTTCATGTGTATAAAATAATATGTGAACAATGACATTTGTTATAATGAAATGTAATTATATTGTTTCAATTACCAACCCAAACATGTGCTTGGACTGTGGGAAAATCATGCCCATAAATGCAGTCATGTGGTTGCATTTTCATAGCTTACCATGTGCTCATTGGAAAGACAATATTCCAGACAACATGCACCTATAAAATGGTTGGAGTTTTCAGCACATAACTTGCTCCACGTGTTCATGTAAAAACAATGTTTGGAAGTCTGAGTGAAGACGGACAGCAGACTTAGGAAGTCAACTATCATGACAGTACATGAGAGGGAAGGCAGGATATGTGAAGTCAATGTAAGACATAAGACCTTCAGACTAGACTGGAGAGAATGTGGAAGATTGAGGAGAGATGTTATGTCTATACACACACACACACACATATATATATTGTATTAATATATGCATGCTTAGTGTAAATATAGATACTACACATATGTGTTTGTTTCACAGCTCCCATCAGGGTGAAGACGTCTGCTTTGAGAGAACTAGATATCACATGCATGAACCAATGTTGTTGGAGATCAGCAAGCTGGAAACAGGCAGGGAAGAAGCTGGAAGAGCTTGACAGTGCCTCACGGCTGTTAGAGGTTCTATGAAAAAAAGTTATGTTCACCTATTGTTCGTAAACTTATCACACCACTCCCAGGTGCTGTTTTCTCGCTGAAGCATTTCATCACTATCACACCATTAGCCAGGTTTGTGTAAACACTACTGTTAGTAAATAAAGCTGTATGTCAAGTTTTATACTACATAGTTTGTTAAATTCCAAGTGTATTCAGTCTTACCTGTTTAACTAAACTGTTCGATAAAATTACATTTGGTGGGAGCTCATTAATAATTCTATACCAGGAGAGGAGAAAGTCGGAGGGGTTAACTGTGTATCCTGATATCTCATTGGGTTCATCTTGATATCTATCTATCCCTTCTCCTACTCCTGTGTGTACTAAGGTAAGCTGTTGTGTATTTACACGACGAGCCAAATATGGCTGTTTTCTTGGATATCCAGGACTTTTTCTGAGATCAACATAGCTTGGATAGTAGTCTAGTTTCTCTGGTGGAGGTGAAGTGTTGACAGGTAAACTCCTATTCATCACAAAAGCATCTATCGACTTTGGGTCCCATGACAGGCAGCAAGAAGTCAAGGAGCTTTCATAATCAGCAAGATTTTGAAGATAAGATCTTACGTCCATTATTTTAAACATGTATTACTACTGCATTGATCAAGACAGTCCTTCATGCAGACACGCAGCAAGATTCAAAAGTCTGGAGAAGCAAGTATATTATAGTGCACTTTTATAAATACTAACCTGTGAATGCTCAGGAAACTGTAATTTAATTATTTAGATGGAAACAAAATTAAATAAAGTAGAAGTGCAGCAGTTGCTCCCCTTGCTGCCTCAGCCATGCCACTGCTTATATGCATTTGTAATAAACATTAAAATAGTATAATCTGGTGCTTTTGTTCGACCAAATCTATGCAGCAAAACCATTCTAGTATTTAACTATCCACCCCCGCTCTTTTTCTATCAATCTTGCTGGGTGTCTCCAAGTTGTCTCTGTTTAATCCCATAACTTAACCAGAACTATGGATCATGTCAATGTTCTTGTCCCAGCATATCCATGTGGTCAATCCACTGACACATTTATTTCTTTGCCATTCACACCCCCAACAATCTTACTAATGTCAGCAACTTTTTGGGTCTATTCTGCCTCATAATAAAACTCATTTGTAAACAGGCTGACAAAAGAAACATTCTGATCACACCAAAATACCTTCATTTGTAAACAGGCTGACAAAAACAACATTCTGATCACACCAAAATACCTTCATTTGTAAACAGGCGGACAAAAGCAACATTCTGATCACACCAAAATACCTTCATTTGTAAACAGGCTGACAAAAACAACATTCTGATCACACCAAAATACCTTCATTTGTAAACAGGCTGACAAAAGCAACATTCTGATCACACCAAAATACCTTCATTTGTAAACAGGCTCCATAATTTTGACAACAGGATGCCCATTTCAGCTTTGTTTGTCAGATGGATTAAATAACAGCAGGTGCGGATTGGGTGATGCCAGTGACAATGACACAACTCTTTCCCAAAACTATTCACATCTGGTAGCAGACTCAGCCATTCTCTCCACTAGAAAAATCAACACTAAAGTAGATGAAAAAAGAAATCAGAATCTTTGTATGACTTGCTGATAATAATGTTTTCAGTGATTATATTGCATCTGTATCCTTGGTGGATGATTAAAATCATAAACAGCCTATCATATATCAGTTCATTAACTTTCATTTAATGTGTTATGTTTACAAGTTTCTCACAAACTTGATGCAAGACTTTAAAAGTGATAATTAACACCCCCACTCCCCTAAAAAAAAAAAAATGATTTCTGAGAGGAGAACTTGCTATACTGTGTAAACTACAGTGAGATCAAACATTTGAAAAAATTATGAAATCCTAAAAGGGGTGTAAAAAAAGGGGGTGGAGTAGTAGCCATAGATCTGATTAGAAAACAATATGCTAAGTAAAAATTAAAGGTGACAGGATTGACTTCACTGCACCAGGTTATATTCCATATGACTCAGTCTCTCTCCATAGAACATCGAGCTGCCTGCCGAAAGCATCGCACAAAGCTCCGACAATGAACCCCAGGGATCTCAGTAAAAACTGCCCTTCTGAACTGAACGCAACCGTGAAACGAACCCACAACCTTCTGAGCGCGAGGCAAACAGCTTGACCACTTCCCAACGAAGACTCTCTGATGCTAAGTGAAAGTGAAGTCGTAAGGCTATTCAACTCAGATGCTAACACCAACGGATTATAAATATATACAACACCACAATCAAATGAACAGCTGCAATGTATAGACTCATAGAGTAGTGTACAAACTAAGTGAAAATGAATTGAAAGAGACTAGAGAGGCTGTCCATGTAAAAGATGCCAGAATGGAATAAGCACGTGCCTTGGAACATATGAAGTACCCAAAGAGGCTCTCTCTCGCTTACTGTTTATTAATATTATACTTCACCTCGACAAAGACTGAACTGAGTTCACTGGGAGGACAAAGACAAAGATGAGACGACTACCTCCACTCAGTCTTACAATCATTATGATTTATAATTTACAACTTGCGAACAAGTAGTCAGTGGTTTACTACTGATTTTTGGATCATCAATGAAAGAAAGCCCAACTCCTAACGATAGGAATTTAAGCAGTGGATATATTTCATAGAGTAGCTTTTAGGATTCGCCGCTAACTACTAATACTAAACTCTAAACTGACAAGATGATGGATGACACTGACAGCAGAACTTCAACTAGGAACAATAAAAGGGGATTTCGTTACTTTTTTTTTTTTTTAGAAGCAACCATAAACTATTAGTTTTGTATAAAATATTTTCTATTTGACTAAAAGAAATAGCAGAGTGTGATCGAGAAGACTAGCATAATGATCAGTTTCCCACCTCATATGACGTCTATCTAAAAAAGTTTATGACAACATATCACTGTCAGGTCAGCATCCAAATCGGAAGTGGCCTATGAGATTACGCACACGATAATTGTTTTTTCTGTGTCGCAGAAAAGTTGTATAAATACAAAAACTCCAGACAACAAACTTTAATCTTTTGGCAGTTTGTGTTTCGAAGTTTAAAGCTAATCTGCAATATTTGCCCCGTCCAGTCCAACACATGCGATTTCAGCAAATCCATAATTGATTGTCTTCTACTATATGCTTCCTGGAGGTGGGGGTTCCCTTCGCAGTGCGGCTCCGGAAATGACACAAGGAAATTGTCCACGCGTTCCTTGGTCATCTTCTCACACGAAGCCTACCTATCCTCGGTGCTCTATATACTTATAATACGCCCCAATATAGAACGCATTGTTTTGTTATTTTCAAAGCCCTCACCCTGGTTGTTGTCGAGGGTCCTAAATATAACCTAACGGGTAAGCGGGGTTTCTGGGACTGCCACCCGGGTGATTCTCATCCGAAATGGGAGCACTTTGGTAGTTTGTCGCTTGTTGTGAAGTCCTGGTTGGGTTGAACCTCAGTCAGTCTGTGTCCAAAATCAATGCTACTGATGCTAATTCCTCAGTTCTATTGCATTAGATCGCACCTCAAAATGTATCTTCAGTAACAGTATCTAATAAGTACAAGGTGTTGCAAAAGTAATCGGCTCTGTGGCTAAGTCGATGCGAACGCTTCGTAATGCCAGAATGCGTATGTGACTGTGTACATGCCTGTGTGTGTCTGCGTTAGTGTTGTGTATGTCTCTATATGTGTATGTCTATATGTGTGTGTCTATTTGTGTGTGTGTCTGTGTCTGTCTATGTATATGTCTGTAGGTGTGGCTATGTGTGTGTCTGTGTGTGTCGTTTCCTGTGTATCTGTGTGAGTATCTGTTTGTGTCTCTGTGTGTGTGTGTGTGTCTATTGGATAATGTCCATGTCTGCGCGTGTCTGTGTCTGTTTGTGTCTTTTTATGTGTATGTGGGTATGTCTTGTCTGTGTGCGTATGTGGCTACATGTGTGTGTGTCTGTGTGTGTTTGTGTCTGTGCATGTGTGTGTGTCTGTATTTGTTCGGGTGTCTGGACATGTGGCTGCATGTGTGTCTTCAAGTGTGTTTATGTGTGTGTGTGTATGTGACAGTGTGTATGTGTGTGTGACTGCGTGTGCATGAATGCATGTAGGTCTGTCTGCCTGCCTGCGTGCGGGCGGGCGGGCAGGCAGGCGGGTGTGCGTGCGTGTGTGTGTGTGCGTGTGTGTGCGTGTGTGTGTGTGTGTGTTTAGGTATGTATGTAGGTTTGTATGTTGATGTGTGTGTGTATGTATGTGTGTATGGGGATGCATATGTGCGTGTAAGTGAGTGAGTGGGTTTGTAGTGTGTATGTGCGCACGCGTGCGTGCGCATGTATTTTACCACCCATGCTTTTGTGTTTTTGCTTGATTTTTATTATATCATATTATTACATTAGCATAACATGCTTTACTGATGAAAAAAATAATTAAAAAAGCTGCAACTGCTATGTGAAAGATTGGTGTTTGAAAGGGCCGAATGTAAGACTCTGTATGCTCCATTTGTGACCCTTTGAAAAAAAAAGTTCGTTCGTTTGTTCATAAAGTGTATGATATGCGTGCCACTTACTGTCTGCCTATAGTCTATAAGGTTTGTCACTTACTGTCTGCCTGTAGTCTATAGTCTATACAATTTGCCACTTACTGTCTGCTTAGTCATTTAGGTTTGTCACTTACTGTCTGCCTATGGGCCTTTAGGTTTTTCACTTACTGTCGGCCTATATAATCCTCGTTAATATAAATTTCTGCAACCTATGGTGCCATTTCAATGGTTTGAAATGAATTCTGTCCGTATTCCATAGTTGTGGATTGCAAGCTGTACGATAGACATGGACAATAAGACACCCTTTTTGGGGGGTTCCTAGTTGACCATGTTCTTAGTGCACTTGTATCTATGGCGAAGCGCAGACGCAGTCTGGAGGTGACAGGTTCAATTCCCGGGGCGGTAACTATAGCTTTCGATTTGTATGTTGTCTAATGTGTTCTTCTATATTTTTACTTCTTTCTATGAGTGCCGATCAATACATTTTGTGTTACTTGATTATTCTGCCTATATTCTGTGTAGTCTGCTTGCAGTCTATGTGGTTTGCCACTTATTGCATGTAGTCTATGTGGTTTGCCACTTATTACTTGTAGTCTATGTGGTTTGCCACTTATTGCTTGTAGTCTATGTGGTTTACCACTTATTGCCTATAGTCTACAAAGTTTGTCACTTTCAAACCGCTCGCGGGCCGTATGTTTGAAATGCTTATTTTCCGAAGACGTTTACAAGGCAAATCAAGAAATTGGCTATTTGGGGTATTACTAGGGAATTTTACTTTCAATAACCGGCCAATATCCATCGATAGGTCGTCGAGCTGTCGAAATCAACTTAAAGCGACATGCTGCGAAATCATCTACAGCTATATAAAACCTCGTATACCATAATTGTGAATAGGGTTCTTAACCTCACTAAGCCATAGACGCCGACACAGAATAGATTACAGACAGAAAAATGTACTACAAGCCACAGACACCGACACAGAATAGATTACAGACAGAAAAATGTAGTACAAGCCACAGACGCCGACACAGAATAGATTACAGACAGAAAAATGTACTACAAGCCACAGACACTGACACAGAATAGATTACAGACAGAAAAATGTACTACAAGCCACAGACACCGACACAGAATAGATTACAGACAGAAAAATGTAGTACAAGCAACAGGAAAAATAGCTGTGTCACAAAAGTGCAAATATGTTCATTTCATGTATATTTAGACTGCACACGAGAGGTGCTTGTAAACTTAAGAGCTTTGCCACTAAAGATAACTAAACTAACGTCTAAAATAACCCTAAAGTGTTGTTGCAGGTATCTATAGTGTTAGGTTAGAGAACAGAAAGGTTAAGTACCCTAAAAAGATTCACAATATGTACTGAAAGCACTAAAATACCCACCTACAGAAGTGTTTAACTCTCACACACACCCACCTGCCCCCCCCCCCCACACAAACAACACACACACACTCTTACACGCACGCACGCACACACACACACACACACACACACACACACACACGTTTATTAATCAGTTATTTTACTTAAATTTACAGTAAATGGGAGTACTGAGAAACGATATAATATAAATAAAGTTTACAGTATGTGTGAATTTTAATAACAAGATTAAAAAAAAAGTATTTAGTACGTGTTAATTCTAATAAATACACGAACGAAAGGTTTAAAGTATGTGTGGATTCTGATTAACATCCGAAAACAAACTTACAGAATTCACAGAATATGCATTCAGGCGTTCCACTGTGGTGGTGGTGGGGAGGTGGGCGACAGGGATAGACACACTGCCTCCTTCCTATTAGCATGTCGTAAGAGGCGACAACTATGTGTTTCTTTCGAAGTCAGAGTGCATCTGCCTAAGAGGCGACTAACCAACAGTCTACA